GAATAGGGAGCTCAAGGGCGAAAGCCTTCTTCCCTTAATAAAGTGACTTTAATAACAAAAAGCTGTTTATGTCATCATGATACCCTCCTCCGTCTAGAAGAATGGAGTTCCACCATGTTAATGGGAGAAGCATGTGGGAGTGTTGAGCATAATGTACGTTTTAATAACAATCAGGGAAAATGACATGACGGCCTTGTTTGGACGGAGAGAGTTTTTTTGGATAAGGGAGGACACCGGGCTATCAGGTGTAAGCAGAGTATGGCAAATAGCAACCTGCATTGTGCCTGGTGGCGAGGGTTTTTCTGTAAGGGCGATTTATTTAGGTTCGGTATAAGCCGCCTTCAAGTGGTCGACTGATACCACTTTGGTGCAATCACCACGGGTAATTTTCAAATGCTTGTCTGTGTGAAAGAACACTCAAAATCGTCCGGCAAATGGTTGCTGTAGTGGTCAATGGACAGCCTATACGCGAACAAATACATAAGAAGACGTTATCAAGTTAAGATCAATGTCTGATTTACTTGTTGAAGTACGTGGAAGGGTTGCATGGAAATTAGCCCTTTCTTGGCGCGGTCCTTGCATATAATCCGTATCATCCAGTTGGCTGGCCTTTGGGATTGCCCGAAAAATCGCCAGGAATCCGTAGGGTAGTGCAGAGCCCTCCAAGACGAGCTTGAGTGCGGTACGGATAGAGAGCATGACCAAGGGCAGATTTTCGCTCCAATGAGAGGGGTTGTCATTATCCCGGAGCAAGGTTTTAAGATGCCACTGGTAGCGCTTGTCTAGATAACCAGATATAGAGTTAAAAATCATCGACCAAAAGTGTAAATGGGAGTACTATTAATTGCTTCAAGAGAAAAGGAAAAGTTAGATGAATTACAGTCAGTCGAAGTGGGTGGAATGGGACTAATGTAAGCCAGTGTCCACAAGGGAATTACGACGAGAGCTTCTGTCAAAAATATGGAGTGAGTGACTTGGAGAGGATGCACCGGCCACGCTAGTCGATATCTCTTGTCGGCAGGGAAAGTTTCCGACGAAGATTCCATCTCTTAAACCTTCGCAGTGTGTTAGGACTCTCAAGAGGGCAATGAGTGTTCTCTTTACCATTAAGCGAGCATTTGTCAATATTGATAAAGACCTATTCGGGAAAGCTTACTGGCCATTTATTCGTTCACAGCTGGAATATGGAATCCAGGCGTGTCGCCTGTGATTGCAAAAAGACTGCGAGGTACTGAAAAGGGTCCAAAGGAGGGCAAAAAAGTTGGGAAGCGCCTATAGTCCTTATTTTACGAATGCAGAATTGAGGCACATAAACTTTGACCTCCTCAGTACAGGTTTGGGGTGATCTCGTCAGACATACCGGATCGAGAGGAATCGGGTCTGTGCCCTGCAGTTTGCTGCCTTCATCGCATTTGCCACATCAACTGACCTTCGTGGAAATTCCCTCAAACTTCGAGGAACCTTATCCCATCTGGATGCCCACAGGCATTTGATTTCAAAACGGGTAAATTTTGCGTGGAATAGACTGCCAAAGGAGGTCATAATGGTGAACTCGACAGACACATTTAAATGCAATCAAATAGCATTTTGGAATTTGTGCCGATAAAAACTGTTAAGCCTTATACTTCGGAC